GAAAAGGCGCGCGAAAACGGTGCCCAATCTCGTAGTCGCCGCGGCTGCCTACGCACACGTACGCCATGTGGGCGCGGCGCGAGAGGCCGAAGCCGAGACGCGCGCCCGTGCTTGCTTCCCGGCTCGCGCGCGAGCGCCGTGCCGTTTCCCCCGCGGAGCAAGGGCGCGTCGTCGTGGCGGGATTGGGGATTTTTTTTGGGGGGCAAAAAGCGGAGGCGGATGCGGCCAAAACTGGCCTTTTTGGTCTACCTTTTTCCATCGCGTGTGCCCCCGTGGCGGCGAACGCGAATCCCCGGCCGCGATTCGGTGGATCCCCCCTGCCCCAAGCCCAAGCAGCTGCAGCGCGGCCTCCGCTGGCTTCCATGATGGGAAAGCGCCCGCATTATTTTAGCAAGGGCAGTAGGGCACACTCGCCAGCTGCCTGCCTGTAATCTCACTCTCGATCGAGTGGACCAATCTCTATTATTGTTGCCCTCTACGTACTCGTTTTTGCTTCTGCGCCACGAACTCCACTGCTTTGGATTCGTCGCCAACATGTTCACGAAGGAACACGGAACACGTTGAATCTGTTCGCCCCAGCAAAAAAAAAAAAAAAGGAAAAAAAACAGACAACACGTTGAATCTGCAAATGAGTTGAAAAGGAGAGAGAGCAGGAAAGTCCCCATATTTTGCTACAAATCTAGTTACCCATGATTAACAAATCTCTACTATTATAAAAACTAGCTGGGTGGCCCGCACAATTGCGCGGCTAGCACCCAAACAAAATCATATATTTTTTTAAATATGATTTTACTTAAAATTTATTAAATAGCTATTTATTGTCTTAAGACTTTAAAAGACCAAACCTTATCATTCTCGTGTTTCTAACTATATAGGTTTTAAAAGTCACACCAGTTGCTACCCCTTACGTCATCTTCTTTTTTATTTGCTTGCTCGATCTACCACTATTTCTATTCATTTTTCTTGGAACCTTTAAAAATTGGATTTTATAGTTTTTAGAGTTATTGTCACGATGGGTTTCGTTTTTATAATTTATAGATGTCCCGTCAAACGTTGCCATTATACTCCTCTACGGCCCGTCCACTGTTTCTTCTCTTTATTGTCATTGAGATTTTAAAAATCGAACATAATTATCGTTCGGGTTCATTTTTACTTTCTAGAAGTCCGGCTAAACCATCAGCGGCTTTGCCATTATACTCCTCTACGGCTCGCCCGCTGCCTCCCTTCTTTATTGTCATTAAGATTTTAAAATCGAACATGATTATCATTGGGTTTTTTTACTTTTTGGAAATCCCGAACCTTTAAAAATTGGACTTGCATTTTATTTTTTATAATTTTTAGAAGTCCCATCAAACGATGCCACTATACCCCTCTACAACTCGTCCGTCACCCACTCTTTATTATCATTGTGATTCTAAAAATCGAACATAACTATTGTTGGAATTCATTTTTTATTTTCTAGAAGTCCCATCAACCGTCGGCGGCTCTGCTTCTCCTTTTTATTGTCATTGAGATTTTAAAAATCAAATATGATTATCAATAGGGTTTATTTTTTTACTTTCTAGAAGTCCCAGCAACTGTCTTACTTGTTTGCTTCACGGCCTGCTTGACGTCCCTCTTTTTAATCGTCATTAGGATTCTATTTGGTGTTTTATTAACAATTTTTATATGTCGTACGAACCACCACCACTCTACTCCTTTATAGACCTGTTTCTTAATTTATCTCGTCATGTGTTTTAGATGGTCTTTTCTTTCAATAGTCTTTATTTTTATCACAAATTTTAGTTATTTATAAATTGTATTCCTAATTGAAATATTATTTTTCTTTTTCTAATTTCAGAGTTTATTTTTTTTTAAAAAAAATTAGTTAATACCGTATTGTGTTATTTTAATATTTTTATTTTTTATTTTCAATTTCAGTTGTTTCAAAATTGTATTTCTACTTGAACTCTCTTTTAATTTTTCTAATTTTGGATATTATTTTATTTTTTATTCAAAATTTTAATTAATTTCATATTGGGTTCTTATATGGATTCTTCTTTCAATATTGCTTATTTTTAATTTTGAATTTCATCTAATTTTAAATTGTATTCCTAATTAACCCTTCTTTTATTTTCTTTTTCTAATTTTGGATTTATTTTTATTTTTATTTCGAATTTTAATTAGTCTCGTATTGGGTTCTTATATGGATTCTTCTTTTAATATTATTTATTTTTAATTCCGAAATTCTGCTATTTTTAAATTGTATTCCTACTTGGACTCTCCTTTTCTTTTCTAATTTTGGATTTTATTTTATTTTTATTTTAAATTTTGATTAATCTTGTATTGGGTTCTTATATGGAAACTTCTTTCAATATTACTTATTTTTAATTCCGAATTTCAGCTATTTTTAAATTGCATTCCTACTTGACTCTCCTTTCCTTTTCTAATTTTGGATTTTTTTATTTTAATTTTGAATTTTGATTAATCTCGTATTGGGTTCTTATATGGAAACTTCTTTCAATATTGCTTATTTTTAATTCCGAATGTCAGCTATTTTTAAATTGTATTCCTACTTGGACTCTTCTTTCCTTTTCTAATTTTGGATTTTATTTTATTTTTATTTCAAATTTTGATTAATCTCGTATTAGGTTCTTATAAGGAAACTTCTTTCAATATTGCTTATTTTTAATTCCGAATTTCAGCTATTTTTAGATTGTATTCCTACTTGGACTCTCCTTTTCTTTTTTTTTTCTCCGATTAATGTGGGAATTTCTAGCCTCCACAGCGAACGTGGTGCCTCATTTTCGAGCTGTCTTAATTATATAATAGATTAAAGTTGTTTCCGCGGTTCGTCATCTGTGTTTGAGTCGGTTATAAAAACTGAAGATATTTTCGTGGTTCGTCATCTGTGTTTGAGTCGGTTTTAATTTTATGTTTTGGTTTTAACTATATCTCTTCTCTATCTCTATCTCTACTATTATAAAAACTGAAGATGTTATGCCGGTATTTTGATACGTCATCCGTGTATGAGTCGGTTTTTAAATTCGTTTGTTTTTGGAAATACATATCCATATTTGAGTCGGTTTTTAAGATCGTTCACTTTTGATAATAGAAAGGAATCATATAAGAAATCTGTATAAAAAACTCGCATGCTAACTTGAGACGATTGGACTCCTAACTGTAACTCATGATTTTCTATATATATATATATATCCAAGCGAACTCCCACTGTAAATTTTATCTTAACTAAACCATATAACAATAATAAAATAAAAATAAACTTCACCCGTTGCAACGCATGGGTATTTTTTTCGAGTAACAGTAAAATATATCTATTATACTCGTATAGGACAAGCTTCTTATAATAACTTTAGAAAATTCATATACTTCTTGCTTTTGATTTAAAACGGTTAAAACGTGAATCTGTCGGGTAAATAGTTAGCCGTCTGTACAACGTCATGGATTTAAATTCTGTGTGTCAAGGGCAGTACAGACCGAACGAATATGAGCGATAGATTTTTTGTATCATTTCATTTAGCATGCAGGGCCACATTTTTCATGCCAGCAGAGCATCCCATCGCAGACACAGTTGTTGCATGTTAGGCAACGTACGCGGCCTATAGGGCTTGTCTGCTAATGCATCTCTCTACACATGCTACGATATACCAGCCGATAAAAAAGAGGTCTCGTGTCGTACTACAGCATGGCACAAAATATATGACTAATAAATCCATGTTTGATAAGCTATATCTTTTTCAGCGGTAAACCACCCACAGACTCTGTAAGCTGTTTTGATGGTTTTGGCTCGATCATTGGCTGCCATGCATGCATCTAGGAGATCTGGTGCCGGAGGAGTGAACTGAATTGAGGTAGTAGCAGCTAACATGGTAATAACATATAGAATAATGGTGGTTGATGATAATGCACCGAAGGAAGAATTGCAAGTGGAAAGGAAGAAAGAGAGATATCAAGTTGGAGTTTGGCCTTTATTACGTGTTTGCTGATGGCGCCCATGCTGCAATGCGCTTGGCCTCTGACCCCATCACCTCTGCCCATTTCATGCCCATCACCTACTTCCAATCCCACGAGAGAGTTTCCTCTCAGAGGAATATTGGAAAAGATAAGCATAAATCTGAAAAGCTACGAATTTCATATTCGTGGCTCTCTGCGTTACAGTTCTCGCCCAAAGGATTAGACAGATAATAATACGCGCGCGGAGCAAACACTTAACTAGTGCATGCTTTTGGCTAGTAACACCAGAATCTCAGGTTAATTACATCACGCGTTGTTCTATGAAGATACAATTAGCCATCTCGTCCACGGCTGGCAGCTACTAGGTCGCACTCATACAGAGGATGATAGGTTATCTAATCGCAGATAATTGCAGAGAAACTGTGATCTTTTGATGACGGTCAACACTCAACACCAGAGCCATCACCAATAACAGGAGATGACCGCATCCCCCGTCAGAACAGCAGATAATGAAGAAAAAGTCAGCTCGGCTCCCCTTTTCAACCCACAGTACTATCCACGTCCGTACTATCAAAAACGTCGCGAAAGCCACCCGAACTCGGGCACACGCAAACGCACACGCAAAAAAAAAGCGTAGATCGAAAGGCGTCGAAGAGAAGGACACCGCGCCTTCGCGCCCCGGCCGGATAACGCGCCGTGCGGTGCCATGCAAATTGCGAGGTCTCTCCCCCGTAAAGTCACACGTGACACCGTGACAAGCACACCCTTCGCCTCAGCACACCTCACCCACGCGAGCGAGACGCTGCGCCTAACACGTCAGGTCGGCAAGGTCACCGACCGGCTGACCCCGCCCTCCTCGCGACCTCGGCTGTGGCATGGCCTCTCGCCGCGGCGCTTGACTCATCACGATTTCGCTTAATTAATTTGGATTTGGATGCGGATCCCTCGCCTCCTCGCAATTTAGCAACGTGATCGGCTGACTTAACGGCCCATGCTTAACGCACAAGCCGCCTCGCGCTCTCTCTGTCTCTTCGGCGGCAGTGTATATATAAAGCGCGCGCGCAGCTAGCCCCCACACATATCTTTTGTACACGGGCGTACTACGTGTTACGGCTGAACCAATCTATCCCCGTGCTCGCTGTGAGGCCATTGACCAGAGGAAACGGAGGAGGAGAGAGCGATCGTGGTCGTACGTACGTTGGGAGAGAAGAAGGGACGCGCGCGCGCGCGCCGGAGCGGCAGGGCAGGATGAAGGTGCAGTGCGACGTGTGCGCGGCCGAGGCGGCGTCGGTGTTCTGCTGCGCCGACGAGGCCGCGCTGTGCGACGCGTGCGACCACCGGGTGCACCGGGCCAACAAGCTCGCCGGGAAGCACCGCCGGTTCTCGCTGCTCAACCCCTCGGCGTCCGGCCGCTCGCCGACATCGACGACGGCGCCGCTCTGCGACATCTGCCAGGTGAGACAAGAGAAGCAAACGATCGCCTTCGATCTGGATACAGAGGGGGTTATTAGGGTGTGGTAGTAGCTGATCAATTTTGGTTGTCTCGTGATGCAGGAGAAGAGGGGTTTCCTGTTCTGCAAGGAGGACCGGGCGATCCTGTGCCGCGAGTGCGACGTGCCGGTGCACACGGCGAGCGAGCTCACCATGCGCCACAGCCGGTACCTCCTCACCGGCGTGCGGCTCTCCTCGGAGCCTGCCGCGTCCCCGGCGCCGCCGTCGGAGGAGGAGAACAGCAGCAGCTTCTGCTGCAGCGCCGACGACGCCGTGCCGGCCCCGGCGGCGCCCGCCACGAGCCACGGCGGGAGCAGCGGCAGCAGCAGCATCTCCGAGTACCTCACCACGCTGCCCGGGTGGCACGTCGAGGACTTCCTCGTCGACGACGCCACTGCCGAGGCCGCCGCCGCCGCCGCCGCCACCTCTTCCGGCATCTCCGCGAACGGGCCGTGTCAGGTTGGTGCCACTGATCGACCATAGAAATGTCGCACAGTACTAGCTATCGTCAATATAATCTTGAATGGTCCAACAGCTAACCATCTTTGGCACGATCCTGCATCGATCGATCGAGCACACTAGCACATATCCCGTTCATGTCTGCATCGACATTACTACATCCAGTCCAGCAATTCCATTATGGGGGGTAGCTTGTAGTTATGCTCGCAGCTTGCACTATGGTCCACGCTGTATCGATAATATCTTCTTGGGGGGACCACTTAGATGGATCATTTTGGACACGAGCAAAAATATTTAGTACTCCTTGCTCTCCCGAACACAACTAAAATCGTAAAATGCATCGCCATTTAATTTGGAGCTACTGCTGTGGGATCTCGTGACTGATATGGCTCTGTACGTTTGGACAGGGGGTAACACGGATCGGAGGGCTGCAAGAATCCGCCGGCTACCCTGCGTGGATGGCGCAGCAGCAGCTGTGCTGCGACGGCCTCGTCGCCGGCGACGCGTCGCCGGCTAGCCGGGAGCGGTGGGTGCCGCAGATGTACGCGGATCAGCTTGCCGCCGGCAGCAAGAGATCCAGGACGTCCACTGCTTCTTCCTACTCCTACTGGTGAAACTAAAGCAATTGAGGCCATGGTTTGTACGTAGTAGATGTTGTTTCGGGCTTAATTAATGACTGCATTTTGCGCTTCCGGACGGGAGTGTTTGTGCGTTATTTTTGAGGCGCAGAGGAAAATCTGAGCCTTTTGTATCCCTTCCTTTTTGCTCGTCACGACTAGTACTGTATGTTTTTCTTCTACGCAATAACGAGAATTTTTCCTCTTTTCCAATGTAAGAACCTGGTTATCTGGGATTGTTTGGACTTTTGGATGTGGTTGAGACGTTCAGTTCCGGTGGGTCTAATCGATTGGAACCGGGGGCGAAGGGGTCAACCGGAGTAGAGCTTAGTACATGTGCCATAAATATGTTGCAAAGCAGAGAGCTATCACCTCGTTGGTTTTCATTGATGCCGTTTACACAGGCAATTGTCAATGCTAAGCATAGAGTTCAGAAATACCGGTGCACCACCTCGGGTGTATTAGATCGTGACAGCTACATGCTTGGTGGTTGGGCCAAGTTTACAAGACATCAAGGCCCATCTTGCCACCCCCATAAGCTTGCGGAATAAGTTTATTTCAGGTCACTCATCTTAACGTCAGTTTAATTTATATCCTCGAAACCAAAACCATGTATAGCATGTCTCTTAACTTCCAATACCATATGCTACTTAAAATCCTATAACAATATTATGTCCGATTTTAACTATTGTGACGAGTTGATTGTAGTCAAGCCATGTGAGCCCCACATGTTAGGGAGAGGAGCCTAACTGGCATTCCCTTCTTCCTCCTCCACTTCTCTCTTTATCTCTCTCTCTCTCTCACACACACACATCTTCTCTCTTCGTCGGCGGATTTATCGAGAGGGAGCAGCTGAGGGAGGGGCAGAGCTCACGATATCAGCATGCTCGTTGCTCCTCCGGCCGCTTCGAGCTTGGTGACGCCGATGCTGGCACGCCGCCACCGCCAGTCTCTCCTCTCCTACCGGTCGATGGCTTTATCCATGCCGCACGTCGCGCTTCTACTCGTCGGTCGCCGCCCTGGAGAAGATGGGGGAATAGAGGGAGAGAGGAGGAAGAACAGTGGCCCGCGGACATGTGGGGTCCACGTGAATCCTATGTTGACTCAACCTGGTTGACCATAGTTAACTCATCACGTTAGCCAAAACCAGACACAATGTTATTTTGGGTTCTAGGGTATTTCAGTATTGAAAGTTGAGGGACACGTTATATCTGATATTATATCTAGGTAATATAAAAGTTTTTTTTATAGGGAAGGTAATATGAAAGTTTATAGAACATATTGTAGTTCTTTGTTTAATACACACCTTGAGTGTGTGCCAGGTGACGTGAAACCAACTAATTTCAAAAGGAAACCACATGAGGAAAATATCATTCATATCGCTCAACAATTATTGCTTTTGGCAAACAATGGACCTCGGGCGCCATATGAAATCTACTGGTCACTACCAGCATTTGCAGAGAGAGGGACCGGCGGGAGGAGCGCTAGGACCTTGGTTTAGTTGGTGGCTGATTAGAGTCACTAATAACGAAAATTTATTTATTTTTGATAAACACAATATAAGCGTAGATGCCCATAACGTACGCACACTCACCCCCTTCCCTATGAGCACATTCGGACTCCCGCTGTTGACGGTTAACGTCACTCACCACTAAAATAATATTAATTAGCTGTAAATAAGAACACTAGTGTTTGTCTAGTATTTGAATCCGAGTAGACTGATTCTACCGTAAGAAATATAACGAGTTAAACTACACTGTACACTCCCATTTGTAATTTACTATGGAGTTGTTTGACCTTTCATAAAAAAAAAGCTCCCAATACAATACTTCCTCCGTTTCATATTATAAGACTTTCTAGCATTATACTCCCTCTGTCCCCATAATATAAGGGATTTTGAGTTTTTGTTTGTATTTTTTGATCACTTGTCTTATTCAAAAAATTTGTGTAAATATAAAAAACGAAAAGTTGTGCTTAAAGTATTTTGGATAATAAAGTAAGTAAAAAAATTAAATAATAATTCTAAATTTTTTTGAATAAGACGAGTGTTCAAACAATGCAAGTAAAAACTCAAATTCCATTATATTATAAGACGGAGGAAGTAGATGTTAATGAATCTAGACATATGTATAAATGTGGGCAATGCTAATAAATAGTGATCCGGAAACCCAATGGGCCCAAGCATATGATGTTATTGTCGAAAGAAGTGGGCCGTTGCCCGCAATTTAGCACCCGAAAAGCAGCAGACACAGAAGCGAGCGAAACCACCACGGAAAGATCTCCCCAGTCCACACGTCGAAATCGATCGAAATCGAGGGGGCCGGAGATGGCTGCGGCGAGAGCAGCGGTCCCCATCGCCGTCTTCCTCCTCCTCGTCCTCGCCGAGGCCGACCCCGCGGCGGCGACGCGCTCGCCTTCGGCCTTCGTGCAGAACGCCATCTACTCCAATCGCATCACCATCTTCTCTAAAACCTACTGCCCGTAAGCCCTCCAGGACGCCCCTTTACACGGCTCCTTTCACCTGTTTTTCTGGTTGGATTTTGGGGGAATTTTTCAGGGATGTGCGTGTGCTTGATGGTGAGGAGTGGCAGGAGTAGATGCCGCAGCGAGGAGATCTCCGGGAATAGAGAACGGGTTCATATACCGTGAATTAGGGTGGATTTGTTGTGCAGTAGATGGTGTAGTGCGAATTAGGAAGATTTGCCCTGCAATTGGAACCCAGATTGTTGAGAAATAGCTTAATTTAAGTTAAATTGAGCTTGTGAACTGTGGTCGGATAGTTTTATTTGACGGAATTTGAACATTTTGTTTGCTTAGAACTGAAAATAGTTACCAAACTGTCCATATACGAGTAGTTTTTATTCAAACTGTTGAATAGATCCAGCTATGCCTTGGTTTGCTAGATTTAACTCTATGATGTAGTATAGTCCCCACTACACCCCCTCTGGGCAGTACAAAGCCCTGGTGAATTTTGTGGAATGTATTTCAGGTAAGTTCTCTTTACATTTTTTTGGAAGATCTTTACATATTTCTGTCGAGTCTTTAAAACAAAATAAAATGGTTTGACCTACTGATACAATAGAGAAGTCTTAATACAGAGGGGGTATCCTACTCGAATTGCTGTCTGCGTACTGCACATTGTGCTTCTGTAACATATGGTCTAAGATAACCTATAGGTTGAGATTATCCTACTGGAGTACTAGGAGCGGCAATAGTGGACTCATAAAGTATCTTGTACTATTGTACCATGTGGTTAAACTAGTTAGTACCCTCAAATCAACTGGCATTAATTGGTTTGTTTCTTGGGTAGCAACGGGTTGTTTTTAATGGAGTAGTAAACAATCTGTGTCTACACATTTGTCCACACACACATGCTATTATAATGCTTGCATATTTGTATCACTCCTAAGGTGTATTACAGATTTACAGTTGGGCTATAATCCACCAATTAGAAGAATGTGGTGTCCATGTGTTTATATGCAGTGTACATGTGTTACCCTAGCATATTAATTTGTAACATGGTTCCTTCCTATTATTGAAGCAAACCATCTGGTGGGATAAAAAATTGTGAAGTTCGTTTTTGGGATATATATGTGTGTTTTAATATAACAAAATTAAAAGACATTTAACTGTGACTGTACAAAGTGAATACAAGGATGCAGTTCATTGTTGAAATTTGCATGATTGTATTTGTATACCAAATTAAGGATGAATTCTGAATCACAAGAAACCAAGGAGTCGAAGACTGAGTGGTTGAATTACTAGATCTTTTGTTCTCCTTGAAATATCCTAAACACTTCTTATATGGCACGACTAATGAATTCTCCTGTAACTGTACCACTCCTGACATCTTCTTCTCAAATGCCTCTTTACTCTTGTTCTTCTAGGTACTCTATGCGTGCTAAGCGTATATTTAGAGATCTCAAGGAGAATCCTTATATTGTTGAACTAGATCTCAGAGGTAATCATCTTGGTCTCATGGAGCCTGAATCAAATTTCAATTCATTCATTTGACAGCTTGAAGTTAATAGTACTCTATACATGCTATGCAGAGGATGGTAGAGAAATTCAAAGTGTTCTTCTAGACTTAGTTGGCCGTCATACTGTGCCACAGGTGTTCGTGAATGGCCAGCACGTTGGTGGCTCAGATGGTTAGTGTTTTATGCTGCACTGTTGTTTCTATGTAAGCATGTACACTTCCATAAATATCAACAATCTGCTTGCTGAATATTACAGATACAGCAAATGCTCATTCTAATGGACAGCTTCAGAAACTTCTTGGAAATAGCCAATCACAGCGATGATCTGTAGTTAAGACTATCAAATACTCGTGTATGGCTAACATGTGTGAGAAGAAGGGGGCCGTCTTTTCTCTTTACACAGGATCCTTAACAGAATGTTGCAGCTTCAGCAGTTTTTTTTGCATGGAAGTGTTGTGACAACGATTTCTATGTTTGTGATTCATCTGTCAAGCGCATATTCTATTAACTGCTGTGCCGGCTCTGTACTGTTTGTGACTTTGTGTTTATAAGTTATTAATTCCCCTTGTATTTACAATGACTATCAATAATAGGTAGTGCGGCTATGGTTTGTGTAAGTACTTGAATTTAGTTGACTTTTGGTGATGAATTTTGAATCTGAAACAGAACTCCTGTAAACATGTCTCAAAACGTCATGAAAAGTTGAAAACTATAAAAACTGCCTTGCAAACTCATTAACACCCTCATCTTTTCGCTTATGCTTATGATTATCATCCAAAATTTAAATTTTCAACCATAAATCTAAAGTTAATTTTAAGGTTTTTTTTCATCGAAGTTTATTTTTCAGCTTTTACTTTTAGATCGTTGAAACACATATATAAAAGTTTTATTCATAAATTATTTCTCGTTTGTAAACATGTGAATAAGCCAAATGATGGCACCCTAAAACGGAAGGGGATCCCCTGACATTGTGTAGTTTACAATTGTGCCACTATTGCTGAAACCTGAATTCAAGATTTGACACCTGATTGCCTCCTTCTGGTGGTGCCAATAAAACGCGTGGGACTGGAAAAATCGTGACAGAGCACATGAATCGGAATGTATTGGATGATCAAACTGTTTGATACAATATTGCAATGCACTAACAGGTAGTTATATTTTTTGAGTTTATTTAGTAACTGCAAGCACGTTTCTTGGAAATAAATACATAAATATCACATAAAATAGTGTCCCCGGCATGTGCATTGGCCGCATGGCACGACGATCACACATTTTATGAACCAACACTGCAGACGATTGATCGATCCTTCATCGCCTTATGCCGAGCAGCCAAAAGGCGAGCAGCGCAAGCACGAGCGAGACGTAGTCGAACCTGAAGACGCGGCGCAACATCCCCATCTTGTACTCGTCCCAAGGCGGGTATCTGAACATGAACTCGACCAGGAGGCTCCTCCTGACCACCGCCTTCCTGTGGCTGAACAGCTCGAACGTGTACTTGCCGTGGTACTGCCCGAACCCGCTCTCCCCGATCCCGCCGAACGGGACGCTGTCCAGCCCGTACTGCATGCACAGATTGCAGCGACATATCAGAAAAAAAAAGGGCATCACATTTTTTTTTTAAGTTTTGAGTAAATTTCACAAAACCATATATACTTTAAATTAGCTGGATGGCCCTCTGCAATTGCACGGATAGACGGATAGCACCCATATGAAATTATGTACTTAAAGTATTCCTATCAAAAACTCTTCTCCAATTTCAAATATCTATTCCTTTATTCCAATACTCCTCCTTTGAACCAATACCCAAAATAAAAGTCACTTTAAACTTCCATTTCCAAAAATAAACCAAAACTCCCACATGCATAGAGTCTATGAACTACATGTATTTTATTCAAATACCCCTCCTTTAACCCAATACCCCAAAATAAAAGTCCCTTTAAACTTCCATTCCCACATGCATAGATTCCATGAACTATATGTTAAAATTTATCTCCAAATCCCAAATAGTCTCCAAACAAATTCTTTTGAATTACATCTCCTTCGTTTTAACTACATCTCTTTTTAGATTCTATTAAAATAATCCCCTTCAAAAATTCAGAAAACTCTTCCATTTCTTTTGGACCGAAATCCTTCCAACCGGTCATCTCCCTCCTGGGCTAATTCCATCACCTTCCTGTTTGGGTCCTTCCGGTCTTTTCTCCCTAACACGGCCCAGCCAGGCCGTGGCCCAGCTGAGCCAACCGCCTCCTTCCTTCCAGAGGGCGCGTCGTGCGCACGCCGCTGTTGATGCAAAAAACAAATTTGGTCGTTAACAGCCGCCACTGCCCTACCGGAGTGATCTCCGCCTCCCCTATAGCGTATCTCGCCGTACCATCTCACCACTAGCATTTTCCCACTCCGGCGAATCCATTTTCCCCATTTCCTCCTCTCCCACCTCACATCAAGCCACCTCAGAGTTTTCTCTCTCCTGCCGGACTAAGTTCTTGTCATCGGCATTCCCAACTCTTCCCTCACTCCCCATGCCGGTTGCCGCATTCCTCCATTGTGTTGTGTTCGGGATTGCGTTGAGGCGCCACCGTTAAGCCACTGGACGCGCCGACGTCGTACGCCTTCTCCTCCTCTGCCTGCTTGGCCTGAAGCCCTAAACCGAGGAAAAAGAAGAGGAACAGACATAGCCGGGCATGCAGACGTCGCCATTGCTTTGTCCGATCGTGTGCAAACTCGGACGATGGACCAAAAATCGCATGTGATGATTAGAAAGATATAATTTTTTAAGTAGTTAAGATTTCATATTTTAAATTCCAAATTCTAGTCATTTTTAAATTGTACTCCTATATGGACTAAACTCCTCTTCCAATATTCCTTATTTTTAATTTTTAATATTTCTAATTGTATTTTTATATGAACTGTAAACTCATCTTTCATTATTCTTTATTTTTTTAATTTCAAATTTCAGTTATTTGTAAATTGTATTCCTATATGGACTCTAGACACTTCTTCTAATATTCATTTTCTTAATTTGGAATTTTAGTTATTTGTAAATTGTATTTATATATGGACTCTAAATTCTACTTTTAAACTTATTATTTTTTATTCCAATTTTTAATTAATTCTAAATTCCTATATGGACTCTAGATTCTTCTTCCAATCTTCCTTATTATTTATAAATTGTATTTTCATATGGAATCTAAACTTATCTTTTAATATTCCTTATTTTTATTTTTAATTTTAGTTATTTCTAAATTGTATTTCTATATGAACCTCATATAGACGCTTCTTCCAATATTTATTATTTTTTAAAATTTATAATTTTATTTCTATATGGACTCTAATATCTACTTTAAATTTTCTTATTTTTTAATTTTGAATTTCTGTTAATTCTAAATTATATACCGGTATGGACTCTAGTCTACTCTTCACTATTCCTTATTTTAATTCTGAATTTCAGCTATTTTTTAAATTGTATTTCTATATGGACTCTATTTTGAATTTATAGGTTGTGAGACTTACCATGGAGGCTTTTTTATTATTTTAATAACTTAATAGATTTGGCTAAAATATATGTAGTTTTATGAAATTACCTCTTTAGATTTTACTGCAGGACACTGTGAAAGATTTTATCTCTAACAAAGCATGAGTGCGCATCTCGTCTCGTTGTGTTCTTTTACCTGCACAATCGCGTCGTTGAACAAGACGCTCCCGGAGGACGTTTCTGCGACGATCCGCTGTTTCAACTTCTCGTTGTTGGTGAAGGCGTAGATGGCAAGCGGTTTGGGCTTCGATTTCAAGAACGCGATGCAATCCTCTGTTTTCTTTACCTGCAAACAAGAGCGGCGTTTGTTGTTTCCGCCAGATGCGTGGGTTGTGCTTGGTTCAATCAAGAATTGCCGCTATCTTTGTCGACTCGTACCGTTATGATTGGGAGCAGTGGCCCGAATATCTCCTCCATCATGATGTCGGAGTCGAACGGTGGATTCAGCACGATGGTGGGCTCGATCCACCTGCACAGTTAGAATCACGGCATGATACACCGAAATTCCGTGTATACGATTGGCTAGGAATGCAAAAGGTTGGAGTTAATAATTTACAGTGTCTTGGGGTCAGCGTTGCCGCCGTGCACAATGGAGGATTTCACTTGATCATCCTCTAGAAGGTTTGTCAACCTATGGAAATGCTTCTCGTTCAGGATGCGCGCCATGTACTCTGGTTCGGTAAAGAACCTCTTGAGTGTAGATTTAAGCAGTTCAATCTTCAGAGATATGACACATACACCAGAAACGACATTTGTTAGAAGGATAATTTACTATATATCCTTGATAACGTACAAGAAGGTACCACATTTTCTAATGTAAAATTTAGTACTTGTAAGTACTAAATAGTTTGAGCTACCAAATTCTCAAGGTCTATAAAATTTCTCTAGTTAGAAATGTGGTACAAAACTCATCTGGCGAAATGGCACTAGAATCAAACGAAAATTTCAGAGTGAAACCAGACCAGGAATGGTGCAAACTGTTCCTCGACAAGTATGTAATCGATGGCAACGCAAGCTTGTCCTGCACAAGTAGACCATTTCGCTCCGATTATCCGATTCACGGCGACCTGTGCGACCAAGGCATCATCAGATAAGCTCACTCTTGCCCTTCCACCTTCCAACCAGGCATTGTATCTCAGAACTGAAAACTGGTGAAGAACAGATCGAACGCTATACCTGACACTCCCTCTTACTGTCAAGGCAGTCAACGATGCACGGGCATTTCGAGCCAAGCTCAAGCGCGACCGGCGTCAGGTGTTTCGCTGCTTTCGTCATAATGATGCGCCCTACACGAGCATTCCCTGAAAAACAAAATGACCATCATAATAAATACAGTCAATAACGACGAATTGAAGTTTCAGAACCAAGTTGAGTTTGGCACAGTGTACGTCATGCATTTACCGGTGAAAAGGACCTTGTCCCATCTGTGCTCCATGAGCTCCTCTCCTACCTCCGCCCCGCCCTGTACGACCTTCACGGCATTGGCGTCCAGATACTTCGGTATGTTGGCGGCGAGGAACGCGGCGGTTGACGGTGCAAACTCGGAGGGCTTCAGAACAACGGCGTTGCCGGCCGCTATGGCCCCGGAGAGTGGCTCTAGAGCTAAGCCTGTGGACGTACGGCATGCCATGAAAAAGGTGAGCACTGAGCCACAGACCATGCAAACTACCACGCAATTGACAAGAGTGTTTGGTTATGTGAATTATGGTCATGGACATGGTGCCGAGATAATCTGAAGTTCACCCTATCGTCTTATTTGTAACATATAGGCCCATTTGTCATCTACTCGGAGTGTCAAATCAGCGAAGCCCTAATGTTTGCAGTCCTAATATTGCAATTTTCTCCTTTTATTTGGGAGCTTAAGATTCCGAGATCTGCTGGTTGGTAGCCAGCTTCTAAGAATCTAGAGAAGCTGAGTTTTCTAGTTTCTGGGTACTAGTTTATTTTCTGGAATCCACAACTACAGATTCTGAGAATCTGGGTGACAATCTGTACTGTTTGGGGGTGCTGGAGATTCTGGGAGAAGCTGCGGCAGCCAGAAGCACCCCCAAACAGGCCCTAAGATTCTCAAGAAACAGTTGGTTGGTAGCCAACTTTTGACTTGATACTATAACTATAGATTATAAGAATCTACACTGTTTACTAAAGTTAGACATACTGAGAGAAACTACGACCGCTAGAATTCCTTAAATATGGCATATATATCTTTTCATTTGAATGACCAGTCCATGAACATGGTGTTATAAATTGGTGCATTTCTTTCTATTGAGTTGCACGCACAAGTTAGGTTAACCTAAAAGCTTAAGTTCATAGAGGAAGATGGACAGTACTCTGATGCTGACAACTGTACGTAGGAATGCATTTTTGGATGTATTGGCGCTCAAAAGGTTAAGGCAATATAATGAGTATGTTCATGATCTCTGCAGTGACGGACGTGATCAATTCAGCAACCAACCACCGTGAGACCGATGGAACTTGCTGCATTAACTTGCAAGGCTTCATTGCATAAGACGATCGAAAATTAATATATATGTTACCATCGGGCAGCTATGAGACTAACTCACGATTACGATCTAATAACACACAGGTCTCGTCTCTGAAGGCAATTATTAAGCATGTGGGCCGTTTTATTTTCGTAATCGAGAAAAGAAGATCACGGTCCTCGATCGAGTAACCTTTTTAAAGTTAAGTTTCCATTGTGAACTTCAAAACTGTAACAAATTGCGATCCATGCTATTCTTCTTAAGATGTTTTTGGGTTATGTACTTATATGGTTAAAAGGAAAGATCTTTTAGACAAAGAGGACAAAAATACTCTGTTCGTTTTATATTATAAGACGTTTTGATTTTCTCAAGTCAAATTTTGTTAAGTGTGATTAAATTTATAGAAAAATATAGTAACATTTTCAACATAAAAACATATAATCAAAATATGTTCAATGTTATTTTAATAAAACTAATTTTGTGTTACAAATATTTCTAAACTTTTCTATAAATCTGCTTGAATGTACTTAAAAAGTTTGACTAAGAAAAAAAATAAATCAACTTATATTATGAAGCGGAGGGAGTACGTCGCATCTCTATCGCTGTCTCACCGTTAATTAGATACCGATATGTAGAAGTTGTCACACCATATTAAATCACTCTTCACCGGAAAATCCTGTTTAAAATTAATTTGGTGCGGTGGTGAAGTCATAGATGCATTACTTGATTCGATATGATTCAAATATTAACTGTGCGTTTGTGTGCCTCTTCAGTTGGTGTGGAGATCAATTGAAGTTATATTTTCATTGTCAAGAAAAAGAGTCTGGTATATGGATCAGGAAAAAATGATTTGCTCTGCAACTAATAGACTTCCTTTATGAAAAACAGCCAAGCCGACCATGATGAATGGAGCAAAATGGTTTCACCTATTGGGAGATTCCAGCATGAGAAAATGAGCACAACCCCGATTGGTTCCGGCACGACCCGAGCGTTGCATGGAAATGAAATAAGCGGCACATCAACCTGCACCCACAAAACCCCCAACTATCCAGTCAGAGTACGTAACAAATGAATTAATGTGCCGGCCTTAATTTTGCAGAAGCTTATATTGCACCTGCTGGAGACTATACATCTCTTCTCCGTTTTCTTGCCATAAGGAATATGCTTGCTTGACTATCATTTTTCAAAGTACATATTCATGAAAGAACATTAAATTACAGCATTATAAATCTAGCTAGTAATGGTCGATACTAATTACTCCCTCTATATAACTATCAAAAGTAGATTGAGGGATTACTATTTTTACTTATTTTCTGTTTAAAGTTTTAAAATTTTGACTGCCGCATATTTTAACGGAGCCATCATTTTGCTTATTCGCGGAATAAGCGAAACGGCATATTTGAAAATAAAAGGTAATTTGTAAATAAAATTTTTATATACGTGTTCTTAGCGATATGAAAACAAAGGCTGAAAAATAAGCTTCGATGAAAAACCTCAAAATCAGCTCCAAATTTAAGCTTAAAAATTCAAATTTTGACTGATAAGCATGAGCATAAGCGAAAAGGCCCTAACACACGGTGCAGGATTTAAGTAGGTGCAGTTCTTGCCTTCTCGGGCGAAGCCCATTTCTTGAGGTTTTGCAGCGTGTTCCTGACGGACTTGGCAAGAACCCCAACCTGTGGACGAGCAATTAATTAATATACATAAACCAGAGCATAAACCGAATGAACAGAGATCATCAGCTAATTTAACAAGCGTTTGTCAGTTGCCACGGCGAGCGATCGAGGTCACCTCGTCTCGGAAGGACTCGACGCGGTGCTTGCCGAGGTCGTCGTGGAGCGCGTCGAAGATGGCGTCCTCCTCCTCCGTGATCATCCTGATGAGGCCCCCGAGCTGCGCCTTCCTCCACTCCAGCTCCTTGGTCCTCCCGCTCTCGTACTCCTCCCTCACGCCGGCCACCAAGCCGCCCAAGCTGCCGTGCTGCGGCTTCTCCTCCATGTGTGGATCGCCGCAGGCAAGCAGCTAGCTTGTGGCCGGGGATGCGATACGTTAAAATGCGATTGATTATCTGGTGGCTTCTTAATTTATAGCAGAGTGATCGTGAAGAATAGGAGGACCCGGTGCCACAAGACCCCCATATTCGACTAGAGATATAAAGTGGTTAAGGTACATGTATTATGTATTATATAGTAAAGTAGAACTCAATAATAATATACAATTTTTAGATAGGGATAAGGTTTTAACTGTTATCAAGGAGGTTGGAACCTGTCTAAATTCTTATCTCCCGCATTCATATATTTTAGGTCTCGATCGTTACCCTTCTTATTATTACCGATTTTTCAGGAACACCCAGTGATCTTCTAAGGTGGTAGGTTAGCCGGTTTAAATTCGAAACCTCATACCTTATATTTATTTAATGTTAGATAGTTCTCTAATATTCACTTTTTTTTATTATTACCTATTTCTAGTGATTCGAGGGTAGAATCGGTAGATACAGTAGTTCATCAATGGAGCTGAGCTGGAACAGGGTTAGCATTAATTCAGTCATTTAAGCGTGTTGTACTGTGCGTAGCAAATAAGGTGGAACAGGGATTCAGTTGGGATAATCTAACGTGCGACGAGCAAAGCAGGTATATGCGTGAACTCCAAGCTGCTTTACGTGTACACAAGGCACGTGAAAGAAAAATATGCACGTCATAGAATCCATTGAGGGTTCCCGTGTCGCTCCCTCCAGGGTGACATGGGAGGCGACATCACAGGCCACCCCTGCCCCCACTTTCCTCCTCTCCGCCTGAGCAGCCGCCGGCAAAGCCGAACGACGGTGAGGACGGCAATGGCGTGCCTTCTCCCTTCGTGCAAGGTTTGGCGGCTAGGGCATCAACCGGTCATTGAGCGGAGGGGTGGCAGACAACCGAGACGACTGGGTTCAGCGCCGCCGAGGCCGGTCGAAGTGGATCCGACACCGCTGGAGATGGATCTAGCCCTCTCGTGGCCAAATTGGGGGGGGGGGGGGGGTTGGCAGCGCTGACCGCGCATCGTCAAGTAGGAGGAGGAGGCCGTGGCGAGGGGGAGTTGAGGAAGGCCCCGCGGCATGAAGAGCCACGATGACGGGACGCCTGGGGGGAAGACTAGGTCGCTAGGAGGAGGAAGGTCAACGGTGGTGGAGAGGCAGGTGGCGGGGGAAGAAGCTTGCATGGCAACGGGCTGGATCCGGGCCCTCCCACGCCAGATCCCGCTGGGAGCGACGAAGAGGTCACCGCGGCCGATGGCTGTGGACAAGAGGATGACGGCGGCGAGGCTGGCTCGGTCGGTGGCGGTAAGAGGCCACGGGTACAGAGAGCTGGCACGGACAATGCTCCGGGTGACCAGTGGTGGCATGAGGAGACGGGCGCGAGGCGACAGTGATGTGGGCGGGCGGCTTGAGGCGGGGGTGCCGTGGGTCATCTGGATGAGGTGGCGGCGATGGTGGTATCGTGAGGTTGGTGCAGGAGACCTGTGACAGGCCCTGATCCAGACACTTGTCCTCTTGCGACAGCGCCTTGTCGTCACAAGATGGCCACGTCGATGGCCGACGAGGCGTTGGCGCGGTGGCTATGCGTCGATCATGTACGAGTGGTGGGCTACTGTTCCAGCAAACGATTTTGACTCGGGAGGGTAGAAAGTTTATGGGCGAAAGCCTAGCCTTCGGGCCAACAACGGCATCTTCGGGTGCCGCTTTCCCCTTGGGGGGTGTTGTGTGATCTCCTCTGCTCACCTTAATGATTTTTTTCAGGGGGGGAAACTTTGTCCTGGCTTCCCAAGACGGGGAGTGGCGGCACTTTCAAGTGTTATTCCCTTCTTGAAGGTGTTGTCTAGAAGTTCCTCTCCTTAGGCCTAGTTCGATCTCCTAATTTGGAGATAGATTTTGGTTGCACATAATACAAAAAAAAAACCTCGTTAACATATGATTAATGAAGTATTAACTATTATAAATTTAAAAAATGAATTTATTTGCTTTTTTAAACAACTTTTATATAGATTTTTTTTAAAAAACACACCATTTAACAGTTTAAAAAGTATGCTAACAAAAAATGAGAAAGTTGAAGTTTAGAGTTGGAGATAGAACATGGCCTTAGGGGTGTCGTGTCCGTTTGCCCTCAGTAGCGAGACGCCGAGATCTGGTTGTAGACACGAGGTGTGTTTTTTTCTTGGAAAAATTTGCTACAGGACACAGAAAGATTGTGGCCTTTGCTGTGAGACATCCGAAGATCGTGTATTTGCTCGTGGACACTATAAAAAAGTGGTAATTAGCTGGCGGACACCGGCCACATTATTTTATTATTTCCGGTCAAAACGGAGAGAGAAACTTTGGTTAAAGACAAGTTTACCCATGGACCCACTCGTCAATCTTTCTTTCTCTGTTCATCTTCTTCATCTTCTCTCTTTCTCATTGTGCTGCCGCCGAGCTCCGTCGTGGCCGAGCCGTCGTGCGTCGCCACTGTCGGTGGTGAACCCCGGCGATGCGCCATTGCCGAGCCGGCTCGGGCCGGCCCCGTTGGCCGCGCGCGTCGCGCCTATGCTCTGCTGCGAGGAGGAACATGTACCAACAGCTCGCTGCACGGCGTCGCCTCGGGGTCCTGCAGCGCCACCGGGTTAGGCGACCACGATCGGTGCTTCTCCGCGAACGCCGGGCACCCCAGCGCCGCGTTCCACTGTGCGCGCGAATGCGGCGCGCCATGAACTGCTCCGGCAGCCGCGTCTCGATTTTGTCCAGGGTCATAAGCACGAGCACGGAACGGTCGAGGTAATAAGGTCTGTGAGGAGGCGGAGAAAGTGGAGAAGTCGACGAGGGAGATGAGGAGCACGGCGGCGAGGAGGCCCGCAGCGACGGCCGGCGTGAGGAGGTAGGCGCGGTTGAGGCGTTGAGCATGACGGAGTACGCCAGGATGAGCGACGCAAGCGAGCGCCCCGAGGCCGGTGGCACTAGCGACGACATCGTCGTCACTGGATCGTCCCGCTCACTACAACTGGGCCACTGATGCCGTCGAGCCTACCAACTACTAGAGCATATTATTCAAGTCCCAACGGTTCAGAACCAGCCGTCCATGCAGCACATGAAAAATTTCTCATGCACGGACGCGATGGGTAGGAGAGAGAGAGGAAGCCGTGCGTCGTTGCCGTTGGCGGTGAACCCCGACGATGCGCCGCGGCCGCCGCCCCGCCGTGGCCGTGCCATCCTGGCTCGGGCCGGCCGCCGTCACGCCCCTGCTCCGCTGCGAGGAAGAAGAGGATAGAAAAGAAGAGAGAGAGAGAGAGGGAAAGACGTGCGTCGGGATGTCGTCGTGTGTCGTTGCCGTCGGCGGTGAACCATGCGCTGCCGCTGCTGCCTCGCCGTGGCGGAGCCGTCCCGGCTCGGGCCGGCCGCCGTAGCGCATCTGACTCCACTGCGAGGAAGAAGAAGGGGAAAAGAAAAGAAGAGAGAGAGGAAGAATAGTGTCCAGGGGTATTTTGGTACTTACACAACTCTTTCTCTCTCCATTTTAACCGGACATAATAAAATAATGGAAGGAGTGTCCATCAGCTAATTACCATTTTTTTCAGTGTCCACGAGTAAATACACTATCTTTGGGTGTCTCACAACAAATGCTACAATCTTTTAGTGTCTGGTAGTAAATTTTTATCTTTTTTTTCTTTTTCTAGCTATAATCTTTTATGATTATAAATATTAATTATAAAAAATTTTTAAATAAGACAGAAATTGAGCGTAGAAATGTCCTTAAAATGGAACGGAGGAATTAATAGTCCGAGGAGCATCTTCGTCTCTGGAAAAGTATGGCAAAGTATGGCAGTGACGTGTGGGGGAGATAGACGTAGCTTTGGTCCATGTTTATGAAAAGGAGGCAATCTCATTCGGAGAGATGACCTTGCAACGGCAATCAGTGACCCTTAAGAGATGACCTTGCAACGGCTTCAATAATAATTTCAATCAGTGACCCTTAAAAGTGATTGAAATTTAATTCATGATCCTAAACCATACAACCGGATATCTTGACCCCCAAACTCTTAAAATCGGTACAATTTAACTCCCTAGGCGGTTTTAGAGGGCGGTTTTGTTGACGCGGCGTCTACGTGGCGGTATTGACCGGGTCTCCTTTACACGTGGTGTTGAGGTGACATTTACAATTTTAAAATATGTGTGGGACCCATTTGTCAGTGACACATTAAAAAATCGTGGGACCCACGTGTCCCTTCTCCCTCCTCGCCGCTCCCTCTCTCTCTCCCTCTCTCCTGCTGCGGGCAGTGAGGGCCGGAGCGGCGGCGGGCGGAGACGGTGGCGAGCGGCGGAGACGCGGGCGTGGCTCGGCGGCCTGCTAGTGTGAGCGACAGAGACACGGGAGTGGCGGCGGCGGCGGCGCCCGGCCTGAGCTCCACCGCCTCCTCGCCGACGGCGACCAGTCGTTCGAGCAGGAGGACGGCGGCGAGCGGCACACGCGGCGGGCTTGACGACGACGACGTCCTCCACCGTCACCGCCGCCGCTCATGTCGACGCGGTCCAAGTCGGTGACCCACCGTCAAATGCTTGCTCGTCGCGTGGAGAACCTCTTCGTCCCGGGTCATGTGTGTGTGAATTGCTCGTGTTGCTCCACTCCTCTGTCTGCTCCTCGTTTATAACAGCTGGAGTGTTGGTGGCTCTGGCTGCGTCGACGTGCGCAGGGCGTTGGGTTTTGCTACGACGAAGAAGGCGTAAGCACACCCGTGCGCGCGGTTTCGTTCGCGATGGTGGCGAAGAAGCCGAGGGTTGTGGTGGTGGGCGCGGGGATATCGTGCCTCACGGCGGCGCACCGGCTGTGCGGCGCGGGCGGGGACAAGTTCGAGGTGGCGGTGGTGGAGGCCGGTGACCGAGTCGACTGCCGGATCCTCACGTCCGAGTTCGCCGGCCACCGAGTCGAGATGGGCGCCACGTGGGTGCAGGGCGTCGTCGGGAGCCCCGTGTACGCGCTGGCGCGCGACGCCGGCGCGATCGGGGAGGAGGGTGGTGGTCTCCCGTACGAGCGCATGGACGGCTTCCCCGACCGCGTGCTGACCGTCGCAGAGGGCGGCGAGGTCGTCGACGCGGACACGGTGGCTGGCCCGATCGAGGAGCTGTACAGGGGCATGATAGAGGCCGCGCGCGACGGCGAGGCTGGTGGTGGAGGCGGCGTGGAGGAGTACCTGCGCCGTGGCCTACGGGCGTACCAGGCGGCGCGGTCTGCCGGCGGCGGCGGCAAGGAACTTGAGGAAGTGGAGGAGGCGCTGCTCGCCATGCACATCAACCTGGAGCGGACCGACACCTCCGCCGACGACCTCGACCTCACCACCGAGGGCGAGTACCGCGACTTCCCCAACCCAGAGCAAGCATTTGTTGTGTCACTGACAAATGGGTCCCACATATAATTTAAAATTCTAAATGCTACCTCAACACCACGTGTAAAGAAGATCCGATTTTATGGTTTAGAATCACGGATTAGATTTCGATCACTTTTGAGGGTCAATAAGGGTCAATAAGTGAACTTATTCCTAATAATTAATAGGTTGGCCAGTGATTAGACGAAAGCGGCGCGCGCGCATTCGGAGTTGGGCCTCCGCGTGGTAGGCTCATCCGCGCAGATCGCTAATTGGCCCAAGGATTCCTTACATCTTCAACTAGATAAGTTTAGAATTGTTTTATCTTGAACCATCCTCTAAGCACATGTTTCCCTACTATTTTCTTCTCTATCGAGAAGCGGATACAGCAGCAGGTAGGCTTAAAGGGCTCCCTCAAACAGTCTAGCTTTTAGCTTTTAGTTCAGATTCTGAGAAACTGTAGTTGTAGAATTCAGAAAATAAACTAGATTCTTAAAAGCTGGTTACCAACTAGCTGCTTATTAAAATTTTAAGCTCTCCAAAACAGGCCCTCATTAGGCTCTGGCCTATCCTCCATTTTTTGCAATTTTTTTAATAGCAGAGCTATCAGCCATGGCAGAGCAGGAGCACTAGCTGGTGGGGAAGATGAACAGGAGAAAGAAGGCTGAAGCCTGAATCTGTATGCAGATGAGCCCAATAGATACTCGAGTTGACCACCTAGGGCTCAGTGGGCTGGTCCATCTCTTGTCCCTTTGTCCATCTGGCTAGGGTTGGTATAAGGAAAAAGTACACCGAAGGTCCCTCAACTTGTCTTCTTACAAAATCGTCCTTAAACCACAAACCAGATACAATGCATCTTCCAACTTATAAAACCAGTGCAAACTAGTTTTCTCGACGGTTTTGACTCCGGTTTTACCTGTCGTGGCAGCTCTCTCAGCATGGGGCCCACGTGGGCCCCAACCCGTCAGCCTCTTCTTCCCCCTCCTCTCTCCACCTCTCTTCATCTCTCCTCCCCTTCTTGGCGACCGGCAGCAGAGAGGAGCTGGGCGCGGCAGGTGAAGATGGGTGGCCGCCCGACGGAGAGGAGCTGGACGCGGAAGGCCGGTGCGGTGGGCGTGGGCGGCAGCCGGCGGGAGAGGAGCTGGGCGGTGGCGCTCAGGCAGCGGCATCACCGAGCTCGACCGGCCGTCCCCATCCCCCATCCTCGACGATGGTGCATGGGGAGAAGGGCCGGCTGGTCGGTGCGCGCGGCCATGGGCGGCGTCATCAACGAGCTCGACCGGCCACCCGATAGAGAGGAGCTGGAGGCGGATGGCCGGTGCGGCGGGCACGGGCGGCGGAGTAGGTGCTGGCAGGCCGATTCTCCTGGATCAACCTCCGCAGCCGATTCTCCGGCGTCATAGGATGGCTTGCAGCAACAATGTTCGCTCCCCTTATAAGACCAGTAGGTGGGATTGCTCTCACTACTCGACCGGACTGCACAAGCATCTCCAATGCTGCACAAGCAAAAATCTGTGGCAGCGTTGACAAGGCCATGGCCATGTACGACGACGTCTCGAGCGGCGGCACCGCCTACTGCTCACTAGGATCGACAAGCCACGCTGCAACAGGATCTACCAGCACCAGCTCCGACCGCCGACCGACGCCGCCCATCGAGCCTGCCTCCTCTCCATTGTGCTCCCCCCTGCCGGCCGTCGAAGGCTGCGCTAGCCCTCCTTCCCCGCCAGCCGCCGGCGTGCCCACCGTGCCGGCACCCCTCCTGTGCTGGCGTGCTCCTCGAGGGGAGAAGAGAGAGAGAGGGGAAAGGAGAGGAGGGAGAGAGAGAGGGTGGTGTTGACGTCGTCACCTGACAAAGTGGGGCCATATGGGTCCCACGCCGACTAAGCCACCACGTCAGATAAAACTAGAGTCAAAACCACCAAAGGATATAAAGTGAACGGTTTTATAAGTTAAGGGATGTCGTATATCTGGTTTCATGGTTGGGGAATGATTCTGTAACTCGATGACAAGTTAAGGGACCTTCGGTGTACTTTTTCCATGGTAATAATGAGGAATAAGTTTATCTGAGGTCCCTTAACTTGTCGACGAATCCGATTTTTGTCCCTCAACCGGAAAACCAGATACAACGAGTCCTTCAACTGTCAAAAACAGTGCAGATGAGGTCCCCCAGCGGTTTGGACAGCGGTTTTGGCTGACGTGACGCCTACGTGGCTAATTTGACTCGGTCTTCATCTGACGTGGCGTTGACGTGGCAATTCGATCTGGAAAAAATATTAAAACTCATGGGACCCACATGTCAGTTTCAAACACAAATTAATAAAAAACGGTGGGGCCCACATGGGCCCCACGTGTCATTCTACCCCTCATCTTCTTCCTCCTCTTCATCTCTCTACAAGCACCATCCGCTTGGATATCACGTGGCGCGGCCATCCCCACCACCAACCATGGAGATCTCTGCCGCCGCGCCCCCCTCCAGGCCGCCGCCGCTCCTCCTCCTCCGCCCGCTCGCCTCCTCCTCGCCCGTCCCCCGTCACCGCCACCTCCTCCTCCATCACCATCAACCGCCGCCGCCCTTCCACCTCAGCCACCGCCACCGTCCGCCGCCGCGCGCGCACCCGCCCCCGCACCCGCCGATCCAAGCCTCCCTTCGACACGGGCGGCCCTTCTCCGGGGACGACGACGACGGCTTCTTTGGCCCGGGTGGTGGAGGAGGATGAGGAGGGGGCGGGGGTGGAACCGCGGGTCGAGGTCAGGGGCTGGATGGGAGGACTCGTTGGGCGAGCCGGACATTCCCGCGCCGCGGAGGTCGGCGGCGGAGGCGGCGCTCGGGGTGGTGTACGAGCTCATGTGCCTCATCGCGCTCTCCAACTGCACCCAGTTCACCGTGCGGAGGCTCGCGGACCTCCTCACTGCGCGTCGTCGTCTTCCGGTGCGCAACGGCGTGAAGTCGGCGGGGCGGGCGGGCAGAGCGGCGGCGCGAAGCCGACGGGGCGGAGTGGGGCGGCGGCGGGCGGACGCGCAGGCGGAGTGGCGGCGGCAATCCGGCCGGGCGGAGTAGCGGCAATCCACCGGCGGCACCCCCAACTCCCTCCGCCGGCATCGTCGCACCTCCTCCACCGATCTCCACTCTCGCCACGGCGTCGCCTTCCATCTCCGGATCTGAGCGCCGCCTGGGCCATCTCCGAGGCTCTTCTCCCGACGGCCACCGTGCACCGCCCCTTCTCCCCGCCCTCCGTCAACCGTCGCGCTTGGACAGAGATGAAGAGGGAAGATGGGGAGAGAGGAGGAAGAAGAGGAGGGGTAGAATGACATGTGGGCCCCACTATTTTTTATTAATTTGTGTGTGAAACTGACATGTGGGTCCCATAGGGTTTAATATTTTTTCTGGACCAAATTACCACATCGGCGCCACGTCAATGCCACGTCGGATGAAGACCGAGTCAAATTAGCCACGTAGGCGCCACGTCAGCCAAAACCGTCGTCCAAACTATCGAGGGACCTTATTTGCACTGGTTTTGACAGTTGAGGGACCCATTGTATCTGGTTTTCTGGTTGAAGCATGAAAATTGGATTCGTTGACAAGGTAAGGGACCTAAGATGAACTTATTCCTAATAACGAGGACTCCTCCAGCTCGCGGGCGGCATGCGGCTGAGGCCGGCTTTGCACTGGCTGAGAATCAGACAGCCGGGTGGGCCGCCATGACTAGCTAGGGCTTGTGACGCGGGCTGTGTTTAGTTAACATCAAAATTAGAAGTTTGGTTAAAATTAAAATTATGTGACGAAAAAATTGAAAGTTTGTGTGTAAGAAAGTTTTTGATGTGATAGAAAAGTTGAAAGTTTGAAGAATTATTTTGGAACTAAACACGGCGGCAGTTGCGCCATTGGGGCTCTGACCTGCTGTTTCTACTCTAGCACTCTCGTACTCAACTAGTGTGCTATCTGCTATATAGTACCATACGACTATGAGTCATACTATTATGATGTTCTCAATAATTATACGAGTTCACAAGACTGAGATTTAGAAATAGAGTCTTATCCATACGTTTCGTTTTTTTTTCTATTGCTAGATATTTCGTTTTTTTTATTGATAGATGTTTCGTTTTTTTTCTATTGGTAGATGGAGTAATGATCTATCGTAGATTTGCAGTGGAGAGAAAAAAACCCACATTGCTCACTTTACCAGCAATTCAATAATACCCCTCCAACTAGTGGGAGCACAAATCAACTCAAGAGATTACGAGTAGTTCATCCAAATAAAAATATTGCTAATCCAGCACAACAAATATCAAATGCGAATTATACTCATTAAATCTGACTTATATTTGATCACGTATATATGCGTATGCGAGCACGGTGTTGGCAGAAGAGGAACTCGAGCTTGAGTAGGCGCCGGTGCATGTAGTGGTCGAGCTAGAGCTTAACACCTATGGAGCTTTTGAGCTTTGAGTTTGGGACTTGGGGACAAGGACGGAGCTCAAACGGGGGACGAATCGTCGGCAAATGAAGCCGGCATCTAGATAGGCTCGACTATGTCCCCTCAGATGTTCCTCTCTCAAGCTCAAGCTCGACCTCACTGGAGGAAATTGAGGTAAAAGACGAGGGACAACAAGGGTTTCCAGCCTTCCAGGTGAAAGGTGATCTCGCACTCCCAAATTCGGTGGATCATGACAATGTGAAATTGGGTAGCTCGAGATTAATGAGAAGGGGTGGGACCTCAGAGATTCTGCGTCAGCTACGGAATCCCCGCAAATGCTAATTCGCGCGCTGCCGGCACACAAGGCCCACGTGCACGCGCGATTTTTTTTCGACGCTATTTCTTTTTTTTTTTGCTTTTTCTTTTTTTTCGTAGCTGCCGTTATTTCTTTTTTTTTTCGCCGTTGACTACCGTACTCGTGTAGGAGTAGGATTCAAGATTTGAAACTTTCAACTCAAAATTTTTTTGATATTTTTAACTCAGATTTGAAAACTTTTAAGTCAAGATTTAAAAACTTTTCACTCGGATATAAAAACTTACAATTTGAACTTGAAAACGTTTAACTCGGATTTAAAAACTTTCAACTCGGACTTGAAAACTTTTAACTTGGATTCAAAAACTTTCAAATGAAGATTGAAACTTTCAATTCAAATTTAAAAAACTTCAAGTCAAGATTTGAAAACTTAACTCAGGTTTGAAAACTATTAACTCATATTTAATAATCTGAGTTGAAAATTTTTTAAATCTAAGTTGAAAGTATTTAAATCTTGACTTGAAATTTTTAAATCTGAGTTCAGATCTGAAATTTAAAGTTTGTTTCAGTCAACTTAGGAAAAAAAGAAAGACGCGTGATGAATTTTTAATAAAAAAAATGAAAACGGAAAAAAAAAGTTAGCGCTGAGCGCTTTTAGCGTCAACAAAACGCGCCACGTCTCCTCCTAGCGCGTACGTGCGCGTTAGGAGCATCTTGCTGGATGAGCAGCGTGAGCACGACGGCCGCTGTATATGCCGATGTCACGTGAGGAGAGAAAGGAGATGAACGTAGTGAGGATGAACACTCGAGTCATTGACGTGTGAGATCACTAGTCCAAAGTACAAAGAGTTTAATTACTAGGAATAATCCGGCCAATAATAAGTAGGTATAAATAAGGGCGGATCCAGAAAAAATAAATTGAAGGGACTCAATTACACGGTTTCTTCAACCTACAGCCATTTAGAAACATTTAGTTTATCATTTATGGTGAAAAAATTGAAAGGGTGCTCCGATAGATATCCATGGGTCTTGTGGGTGTAGGGGGGACTCGAGTCCCCTCCGCACCCACATTAGATCCGCCCCTGGGTATAAATAGTGCAAGAGAAAAGGTGAGGAACTTTGTAAACTCACTGTTCAAAAGAGTTAGCACATTTCCACATTATTACATTTATTATTTCCTTTCGAAATATCGAAAGTAAACACACACCGGAATTAAAGTCGTTATCTATCTACAGACACTTAGTACGTACTCCCTTCGTCAAAAAAAAAGTAAACTCTGAATTTTTCATGTCCAACTTTAACTGTCCGTCTTATATGAAAACTTTTTATAATTCGTATTTTTATTGTTGTTAGATGATAAAACATGATTAATATTTTATGCGTGACTTGTATTTTTAATTTTTTTTATAAATTTTTTAAATAAAACGGAAAACTCTTTTTATGGGACGGGACGGAGTGAGTATTAAAGAAAGAACACAATATTTCACGGAAAGCACTTGGGACACGTGGCGTTGCTTTTCTGCGGGGCCCCACGGCAGAAGGAGAACTGGTGTGGACACTTTGGCAAGCAATTGTCCGCCAAACTCACCACCGCGCCGTCCTCCTTCAGCTGCCTCAGCTGGCTCGGCAGGGCCCCACAGAGAAAGTTCCCCTGCAGCATGAGCCTGACAAATGGGACCCACTTGTCCGTGGGCCCGTCCGCCGCGGCCCGAGCCGCGTACTGATCCGGTATGCCGCCGGCGAACATGTTCCGGTCAAGCCCGACCACCGCGAGCCGCGGCATCGCCGCGACGCATCCAGGCAGCCGCCCGGTCAGCCTGTTCCCGCCGAGGTCCAGCTCGACGAGCTGGCTCGACGCGCCGCCGTCGGGCGCCTCCTCGACGGCGCCGAGCTTGTTGGACCCCAGCCGCAGTTGCTGCAGCGACGGGTGCGCGAACGCGGCGCCTGGGACCGCGCCGGACACCGCATTGCCCGTGAGGTCGAGCACCCGCATCGCGGGCAGGGCGGCCAGCGCCGCGGCCTGCAGCGGCCCCGCGAAGCCGTTGCCGCGCGCCACGACGGAGACGAGCGAGCCCGGCAGCCGCCCGGGCGCGTCGAGGAGCGAGCCGGACAGCGCGTTGCCGCTCAGGTCGAGGTAGGCGAGCGAGCGCATCGCGTCCATCCGCGGCAGGGTCCCGGTGAGGCCGTTGTGCTGCAGCTCCATCCGTTTCAGGGAGCCCAGCGACGCGACCTGCGGCGGGATGGCGCCGGTGAGCGCGTTGCGGGAGAGGTAGAGCTCCTCGAGAGACGACGCCGGGGTGAAGAGCGACGCCGGTATCTCGCCGGAGAAGGCGTTCCCGGAGAGGTCGAGGACGCGGAGGCTCGGCGGCAGCGGGGACCCCGCCGGGAGCGCGCCGTGGAAGCGGTTGCTGGCGAGGGAGAGGAACGCGAGGAAAGGGAGCGAGGCGAGGACCGTGGCGGGGAGCGTGCCGGAGTACCCCGCCGGGTCGAGCGACACGCCGGTGACTCGGTGGTAGGAGGAGGAGTTGGGCGGCGCGTAGCAGCGGACGCCGCACGGGAAAGCGGCGCAGGGGTCGCGGGCGAAGTCCCACGACGCGAGGCAGGAGTAGGCCGGCACGGTGGCGGCGTCCACGGCCGATTTCAGCGACGCGAGCGCCGCGGCGTCCCCGGGGAATGTGGTGACCACCGCGTCCGCGGCAGCCACTCGTTGGAGCACGAGCAGCACCGCGGCGGCCAGCTCCAGCAGCAGGATCGGAGCAGCGGAGGAGGAAGCCATTGTTGCACTTGCACCGACGGAGGAGATCATGGGAGGCAGGTGAGGTGGGGGGGAGAGAGGCAAGACGACGGCTTTGAGATGGGCGCTAAAGCCGAGGTGGTAAGGTAGGCTTTGAGTGGGAGCAGTGGAATGTGAGCTGTGGTCAGAGTGTGGCGTGTCCGTGTTAACCCGGGAAATCCGCGGACAAAAGGGACAAACAAATCGCACCACACCGCACCGCACCGGGCCCCGTTCTTTTCTTTTTTCTGGCCTCGTTTTTTTCCGGCGTCGCACCACGCATACTAGGCGGTTGCCAATGGCGACGACAGCTTTTGTTCGCGTTTCTGGGTGTTCGTCTCATGATTCATCCGTATGATTAGCCCGGTGGATAGAATTTACAATGCCGTGCCGTCCACTTCAGAGTTCAGTCGCTTTGTTCGAAGCTTGAAACACTCGTGGAGTTGAGGTTTTATGCGCCGAAATCGCTAATAAGTCGCGCGGTCGGTTTTTGGTCCACAAATTATTTTTTCGGTACGTATACGGTTGTATATGAGTATATCTATAAAGTTTGGTACATACATTTATATCATTTTTTATACATTTGAAATGTATACGTAAGTATAAAAATTATACATATGTAAAAAACTATATAAACATAATTTATATGCATATATACTTTGGGTATATATGTATAAGCTTCATGTATATATACAACTCTCTTGATGTCCGGACTAGCATGTATCACATCCTTCAAAATCCCTTATATTTTGGGACGGATAGAGTATATAGATAAATTATATAATACCTTCGTTTTTTAATAGATGATAACGTTGATTTTTTGTCACACGTTTAACCATTCGTTTTATTTTAAAAAAATATGTAATCATAATTTTTTTGTGAGTTGGTTTATCCCTCAAAGTATTTTTAACATGATTTATATCTTATATATCTGTATAACATTTTTAACTAAAATAAATGGTTAAATATGTGTTTAAAAGTGAACAATTTTATCTATTTAACAAACGAAGTACATACGTATTAGGACATTCCCAACCCAAAACACTAGACATGGTTTCCATAAACTCCACATCATCAAGAAACTAGTACTAGACACCACTCTTCCAATACAAACACTACTATTTCATACTTAAATTTAATGCTCCTTATCTCACATGATGTCTTGGATGTTGTGTTAAAACCATGTCTCATGCAAGACATGGTTTCCTCCTCTTTCCTCATTTATTCACTTGCCATATCATTTTTCATCCTAGGTGACACCTTATTTAATGCTATTGATACCATCCTAGTCATTGGGTTGGGAATGGCCTTAGAAGGCATAAGGGGGACTGACCGTGTATCAACCCCCCTTGTGCGCTGCAATCCTTAGTACGGAAAGAGCACTCACCATCTGAACGCCACGCAGGCAACAAGAGGGAGTGTGCCCATGGAGCCAGGTGGTTTGGCTCTGGGCCTCTGCACCTTTGAGGGGAATAAGTTCACCGGAGGTCCCTCAATTTAACAACGAGATATTTTAAGGTCCCTTAACCACAAAATCAGAAATGTGTATCCCTAAACTCTCACAAACCGTTCACCGGAGGTCCCTCGGCAGTATTTTTGCCCAGTTTTGCTGGCGTGGCATCCTAGTCAGCAAAAAAAAATTAAAAAAAGTACGTGGAGCCCACATGTCAGTTGCACATATTGTTTTTCCTTCTCTTTTCTTCTCCTTCTCTTCTCTTTTCTCCACATCGGGCCGGCCGGACAGTATCCAGAAGAACCAGGTGAACGCCGACGACGGGCGAGGGCGGCGGCGGGCCCGCGCGGCAGCGGAGCGGTGTCGGGCTGCAGGCGAAGCGGAGGCGGGCATTGAAGTAGAGCGTGGCGGGTGGACGCGAGACGAATTTATTAAGCCTAATTAATTCATCATTAGCAAATGTTAGCATCACATTGTCATATCATAGAGCAATTAGGTTTAAAAGATTCGTCTCGCAATTCACACGTAATCTATGTAATTAGTTTTTTTTCCTATATTTAATACTCCATACATGTGTCCAAATATTCGATGTGACAGTGTGAAAAATTTTGACAGGGATTTAAACAGGTCCTAAAGATAAAAATATTGCCAACTACGGTTCGATGTGCAATCTAGGTAATAAAATCTACAGAGTAGCAGTCTAGACCTTATACTCCATCCGTCCCATTTTAAGTGCAACCATGAGTTTTTCACGCCCAATTTTAATCGTTCGTCTTATTTAAAAAAATTATAATTAATATTTTTGTTGTTATGAGATGATAAAATATGAATAGTACTTTACTCGTGAATTATGTCAGGGTTACGGGTAAGGTATACCCTCCACCCTTCGATATACGTCACATATCGATATGGTATATTTGCGTGCATACGGACGTTTTCGGCATAAGTTAAGGAAACTCATTATGGAGTTCACAGATGTAAGGAGTCCTCGGATAGAACTAGGTCGTCATTGTATCGTATCGGGTCCGATGTCTCCGCGTCCTATTTGGAGACCAGTTGACCTGCGGTATAAAAGGGACCCCCCGGGAGGACCTAAGGCATCGAATCTTACTGCCAACATATCCACCACAGCCTACGAAGCCGGAGCTTACAGGAGCCAAGTCGCCGGGTGATCTAGTCGAATCAACTCGACTACGATCTCGTCGGTATCGTCAAGTTCCACTATTCCCTTTGTAATCTGTGGTTTCCATCATATAATCCCATATCAACTGGATTAGGGCTATTACCTATCAAGGGGTCTGAACCAGTATAATCTTTGTTTTCTGCCTACTTGATGTCGTATTACGTAGATCCTCGTACCAGCGTACCCCAATACCCTCTATATCCGGTCTACGGGTATCCCCCGTCAACAGTGGTGCGCCAGGTAGGGGGACTTGGTGCTCAAGGTTCTACTACTATGACATCCAGCTTCATCGATAACAGCGTCAACACCAGCCTCAACCAAGGAGTTCCTACTTCAACAATGCTGGTGTGGACTCAAGTCGGCGAAATCGTCTTCCCAGTTTACACCACGGTGCCGATCTCAGCTGGTCCATCAATGGCCGGAAACGAGAACGCAGTGGCTACAACCCAAGACGACTCCATGTCGAAGGATCCTCCCGCCGAAGCGGAGATCGGAACATCGACGACATCCGAGCCCGAGAAGGATCCTAGTGCGGCCAAACCTTGTCTTCCCGACAAGAATCACGAGCCGACGAGGATGACTTCCGAGGTGACAAGGTCCTGTTTTCCTATTCACAAAACCAGAAAACACACCTTACAAGCCTGCTGGGTTTTTCTCAACGTCCACGCTGAGATTCGTGCCTGCAAAGAGCGTGGAATCCAACGTACTTCTCCAACTCGTGATATCTATTGTCCTATTCACAAGACAAAGAATCACGACCTCTCAAGCTGCAAGGTCTTTCTCAGCGCCATGAAAACATCACCTCCTAAGGTCCAGCAGTCACGCATCCCCCTCAGGGATGAGGACAAGGAACAAGGAGCGACGCTGATCTCAGATCGATTTGTTGGGGTAATCGACATCGATCCCCACGAACCATCAGTCTTGCACCTGCTCGAAGACTATGGATCATCATCAATGAGTACGCCGCGCGAGGTATTGGCTATCGACGAGACCGGCACGTCAGCGCGCGCCAATGCGGAAGCAGAGAATCAAGTGACTACACCGGCCCAGCACATCAGGGCCGTCAACGCAATACTGAGGGAAACCCCCCTACGATCCCGTTCTGAACGACGATCTCGCACGATGGACAGAACGGTTACGGGAATCAGGGACCAACCTCAGCAACGCGTTCGAAGAGGCCGCTGCTGCAGCGCACCCGGAACAGCCACCAACTGGCGATGCTAATGGTGAAAACCCTGAACAGCGGGAATCGCCTCATCGAGCCACCCCTCCACCTCGCGGCACCGGCGATCTCCGCGATCACCTGAATGGTCGCCGAGAGGCGCGACGCACACGAGATAACGAGAACCATTCCCGACGTCGCGTCTCTTCACGGCTTCACGATAACAAAGAACGAGGAGGCCGTTCGAGAGAAGACCGAGACCGTGATAACCGCCACAACCGCTGCGATCACGACGATCGCGAACGGCGGATGCTGGGCGATACTGGTCGAGGACGTTGCCATAATGACGACGATGATGGAGATCGGCGCCGAGACAACAACGGGTGACGACGACCGGGTTCTCGAGAACCCGGCCGACATCCTCGTAATCACACGCCAGAACCAAGCGACCCATCATCATCGTTGTTATCTTCCTCATCCTCATCATCAGATAGACATCCGCGAAGGACGTACGATCGCCGACAACCCACCGCCCTAGCGCTGGGTGTAGAGCTTTCGGTCGTTCACTTCGAGATGTCCGATGGCCTGAAAGATTCCGACCAAGAGCAATAGAGAAATACGATGGGAGCACCGACCCAGAAGAATTCCTTCAGGTTTACTTCACGGTACTCTACGCTGCCGGAGCGGACAATAACGCATTGGTGAATTACTTGCCAACTGCATTGAAAGGCTCTACGCGTTCATGGCTAATGCATCTTCCCCCTACTCGATTTCTCTGTGGGCAGACCTGTGGCAGCAGTTCGTCGCCAACTTCCAAGGAACTTACAAGCGCCACGCGATTGAAGACGACCTACTTGCGTTGACACAGAACCCGGGTGAATCCTTGAGGGATTATGTTCGGCGCTTTAACGAGTGCAGAAATACAATCCCTGAAATTACCGACGCTTCTGTAATTCGTGCTTTCAAGTCCGGTGTCAGAGATCGCTATACTACTCAGGAGTTGGCAACAAAGCGCGTCACGACTACTCGGAGATTATTCGAAATTGTCGATCGATACACTCATGCGGACAACGCACTGAGACGCAAGAACGACAAACCAAAGACCGGAGAAGAGAATAAACTAGCCAAGGACGCACTTGAGTCAAGCAAGAAGAAAAATCGTAAGAATGGGAAAAGGAAAGCTCAAGCGGAAGTTCTCGCAATAGAATACGCGGACCCTCCCAAGCGCCCAGACCCACAAGGCAGCGACGCGAAGAAAACATGGTGCCCTATACACAAGTCAGACAGACACTCTCTAGAAGATTGCCTCATCTTTAAAAAGTCGCTCGCAAAACACATGGCATTGAAAAAAGGCAAGCGAGTACGTGTGGTCGAGAAGGACGCTGAGGCGGCTACT